CGGATTACCATAAGACTACTGACAACTGAAAATGCTGAATCATGCAAGTGAACTAGAAACAAAAACTCATCCCAATAACTGACTGTATCACCTCCAGCTGCAGATTCAACTGGGAAAGTCTGAGAGCAAAGAGAAGGATTCCCCAATTTTGTAGGATTTGCTTGTTTGGGCTTTTCCCACTTTTTCCACTGTTTAAAAACAGTTAGTCCCTATTTAAAGCTGCCAAGCAAGCTTTACAGCAAACTGATCCAATTTTAAAAGTGATTAGCAACGATTCCGATAACTATTCACTCCCCAGGACAGATGGGGAAGTTAAGAACCAGGGACATGAATATCTGGATCTTGACAAATCAACAAAGTTAACAGATATTGTTTCTCATCACCCACTGATTTTCTTTCACAGCATTTTCTATGCTTTTTTTTTAATGCACAACTGTCAATATATTACTATATATATTGTATATACACACATATTACTGTAATATTGAAATGATTAAGAAGCTGTTTGCTAAACTAATCTTGACTCTGGACTAGCTTTGCAAACCACAGCATACCACAACACACGGTGACCCATTTAAAAAAAATTACCAAACTCAGACCCACCAAGCTCCCCTTTGGGATAAGCAAAGGGGAAGGTATACAGCTGCCCAAAGCCCAAGGGAACGACCACAGAGTCAGAGCAGAGCGGAGGCTGGGAGGGACCTCTGGAGACCTTCTAGTCCAGCACCCCGCTTACCACAGGGTCACTGACAGCGGGCTGCTCGGGTCCTCCGTTCAGTCGGGCTGGAGACCCCACAACCTGCCTGCTTGTTCCAGAACCTGATCACTCCCGCAGTAGAAAAGCTTTCTCTCATGTTTAAGTTGACCTTCTCATATCTCAGCTTGTGCCCACTGCCTCTTGTACTGTCAGCAGGCACTAACAAGAAGAGCCTGGCTCCATCTTCTTTACACCCCCCTATTAGGTATTTACATACATTGAAAAGATCCTCCCGAGACTCCTCTTCCTCAGGCTGCACAGTCCCAGCTCTCTCAGCCTCCCCTTGCGTGTCGCATGCTCCAATCTGTCAATCATCTTTGTGGCCCTTCACTTGGTGGGCCTCCCTCCCTAAATCCATCTCCTCCTGGTGCTGGGGAGCCCACAGATCGCCCCGGTAGGGCCTTCCCAGTGCTGAGGGGACGGACCACCTCCCTCAACCTAACCGCAAGGCTCTTCCTCACGCAGCCCGGCACGCGGGTGACCTCCTTCGCCGCCAAGGCTCACCCACGGCCCACGCTCGGCTTGTTGCCCGCGGGACCCCAAGGTCCCCTCAGCTCTGCTGAGCTGCTCTCCCCGGCGCGTGGCTCCTGGGGTTACTCCCTCTCAGGGGCAGGACTCCGCACCTCCCTTTGTTAAACTCCCTGGGGCTCCCCCTGCGCCTTCCTCCCGCCAGTC